TCTACATCTCTAGAAAAAAGTGATGGAAAGGATCTTTTGGTCACCTGTGGTCAACAGTGGAAAGTATGAATTGGATGAGATAATTTAGGGAGAGAAATTAGGGTTTGGAGAGCATTAAGAACATAGTATTAAAGATGCCATATTGAGTGATGACAGGCAGGGAGCCAGTGAATGAGGGGGCGGGGAAGAGAAACCAAAGGAGGGGGTATAGAACCAAGCCAAAGCTGAATGAGTGATTACCAGAGTCAAAGAAAAGGCAGATAATGAATTAGGAGACACTGAATTTGGTAACCAAGGGAGCTGTGGTGGTGGAGTCACTAGGGAGTTGTACTGCTAACTCAAAGGCCCCACCTCTTCAGTGGTTCAAATCCATCAGCAGCTCTGTGGAAGAAAGATGGGCAATTACCTCCCACGTGATTTGGGAACTCAGTGGAGGGCCACCTATGAGTTGGTTGTAACTTGACAGCGATGAGGAAGAGAGAACATTTGCTAATGGGATAGTAGATCTAAAAGCGGTAAGAATTCAATGGGACAGAAGGAAGTGGAATGGAAAAAAATGGTCTCTGTTGGAAAGGGAAGAGAGCGATGTATGGGTAACTTGAGGAGGAAGGTAAGTTGGGATGTTTACAGCAGGAGGTGGTGAGATGAGTATTAATTAATTGTAGGCTGAGGAGAAAGCCACCAATAGAGGATAAGGAGTAAAGATACTTAAGAAAGTAGCCAACTAATGAAGGCAGTTCCTGCTGACATTAGAAGAGAAAGAGATGCTAAATAAAAATTGCTGCTTCACCAAGGGGAAAATAAATAATCTATACATACAATGATAACATAATTACATTCTGAGTCCCTTGTGTATGCCAGGCACTGTTATGATGCTAAAACAAGAAACAGAGAAAAAAAAACAACACAAAACCCCACACTCAAATCTTTATCCTGTGTTAAGCCTAGAAACATAAAGTAAAAAAATCTAAAGAAATTAGGCCCTGATAGTTGTTAGGTGCCACTGAGTCGCATACAATGCATAGCGACCCTATGAACAACAGACTTTAACTCCGTTCTGTTCTATCTTGAGCCCACTGCTGTTGTCAATGTGTCAATCCATTTCATTGGAGGCCTTCCTCCACGTTTCTAAGCATGATGTTCCTTTCCAAGGAATAGCCTCTTCTAGCAACATATGGAATGTATGAGAGACGACGCTTTGCCGTCTTTGCCTCCAAGATGCACTGACTGCACTTTCCCCAAGACATACCTGTTTCTTCTTTTGGATGTCCATGGGATTGGTCAGGGCTAAAGAAGACATGAGCTACCATAATTATGTGTGAGAAGGTAGAGTCTCAGCTAGAATGATGCACATTTCCACAGGCAACATATACACAGCATCTCAGACTAAACCCCTGGAACTCAAATATCCTATTGCTACATACTATTAGAGCAAGCTGTGCTGGTGTAGTCTATAGTGTGTTGTATTGCTAACTCAAATGTTGCCCTTCCTGAGTGGTTTGGATTCTCCAGCGGCACTGTGGGAGAAGGATGGACAATCTCCTTCTGTGTGATTTACAGCCTGGAATTTGTGCTGGAGGGTCAGCTGTGACTCATAGATTATGACTTCATGGCAATGAGTGACATTTCATTAGAGTCCTTGAGGAGAAAGGGGGAAAAATTATTTCAATGACAAGTTTTAGCTATAAACATGTAGAAGAATCTCCTACAGACATGCTGAGCTTCATGTACTGAAAACTTCAATAAAACAAAGGCAAGAGGCAAAAGACCTATTTTCCTTAACTCCAATAAATTTGCTAGCTGAACCTTCAATCCTCTGAGGAGAAAATTTCTGGTTCTTATCTTTAAACTCTCTGAGCAATTCTGTTCAGATGTAACCTAAATGGACAAAATCCATCAAGTCATCTTAACCCTCATCTCGTCAGAATTCTTACTAGTCATTAGCTATTGTTTTTGAAAGAGGAAAGCAGAGATGGTGTGCTTTGTGTTTCATGCTGAATATTACACTTCAAGTGGAAAGGGCTGCTGCCTTGTATCTTAGGACCACAGTATATGTCAAATCAATAAAAAAACCCCAAAACCCACCACCATCACAGCAACCCTGTAGGGTATAGTGGAATTGACCCCTAGGGTTTCCAAAGCTATATCTATTTTTTTTCCTTTGGTTTCATTTTTACTCTTTTTAAATTAACTTTTTATCATGATTTGAGAGACACTTTATAGGACACATTGATTTTTCCATGCAGTTCATACACATTGTTTTACGATGTGGATTTTAGTCCTCACACTTGCCACTTACTCCATTCATCCTTTCCCCCTGTTCCTTCCTGCCTTCTAAGCTTTATGCCTGGGTTAATGCTGCCCATTTGATCTTTAATGGTTGACTGCTCTAAGGACTTCATTTCTCCCAAATGTTATTCATCAACTTTTGTACTTGTTTGCCTAGAAGCTGAGGCAAGGGTGATTTCAGTCTTGGACTTGAAAGTGAACGATTGAGGGTTCCACCCATCTCTCAGATCAGTGAGTCTGGTCTTTTTCCCCCATTAATAATTTTGAGGTTTGTTCCACATATTTCTCCCACTCGACCAAGGCCTTTCTATTGTGATTTCTTTCTGTGTGGTCAGTAGTGTTAGTGAGGCATCATCTAGTAACTGTTATTTCAAAGTCATGGAGACTAAAGTTCACAGGATCTCTTAGTCCCTTGTGTTAAAAGACTAATATTATTTTGTTCACTCTTTTTTGCTCTTTAAGGGGAGAGCCCAATAGTTGCACCTTAAATGACTGTTGAAAAGATTTTAAGACTCCAGCCACTATTTATAAGGTTGTATTCTCTGAATGTTATATTTCCTCATCTTTGGCTTATGAGTCTGGCTTTCAGAACCTTTTTATTCATAGCCCAGTGCTTTACTATTATACCACCAGGGCTCCTTATGTCATGTAGACTCAGTCCTCATTGCTACGTATTTGGAACCAATTCATAGCTGACCCTCAATTGAGTTTCCAGGACTCTAAAAATCATGGGGGGAGATTGTCCATCTTTTTACCTCAGAGTTTCTCCTGGATTTGAATGGCCAGAGAGGAGCATCTTTTGGGTTAGCAACGAAACTCCCTACAGACTACACCACACAGACAAGGTACATTTTTTAACATCAGAACAAGAGGAGAGAAGTGCTAAACTTATAATAGAGGATTCTAGAAAGTTTGAATAGAGGGCCTTTAAAGTCATTGAGTCACAACTTTGTATTGGAAAAAGGAAAATGATCTAGCATAAGACCAGCTAGCTGATGGCTGTCCACTTCAGGGCTCAAGTGTCCTGAAGTCTCATCCATCATTTCCCCCATTATGTCCTGTTATCATATTTCATATTGACTTAAAGTTTCAAACAAATTACTTTCCTAGTGAAAAAAATATTTGAAGTTTCACACTTTTATGAAACCTTTCTAATGTAGAATGGTTAATGTGTGTTCACAGCAAAGAAGACTTCAGCAACGGTCTGCAAATCCCTGTGTAAAATAGAAATGCAAACAGACAAAATTATGAAACCAAGAGCCACCTTTGTCGCTTATATCGTCTATTACCCAGCTTCATTTATTTGCCCTTGAGACGCACTTTTAATCTTCTGACCATTTTGTTTTATTCTCCAGCTAATCCTAGAGTTTTTTAATCCAGCCACATCCTAGAGTAAAGTAGGTGAAAAACAATAGGGAAATTATTATTTAAATTGAGGCTTGGAGATTTTCTGTGGACAATTACTTATCTTCATCACCAAAGGGGGACAAAAGCATTTCAATTAGAATATAAAGTAATTCTCCCTAAAAATCTTATTTTCTCCAATATAGGAATGAAGAGATAAGTTATGGGCACTTGGGGTGTATTTATACCTCAGAAAAAAACTTATTTCTAGGACATGTCCAATGAGGATAAAATATGTGGGGTGGTATATAAAATTTTACTCTGAATGGTAAGAAGGAAGGAAAGAAAAAGGAAGCAGGGTGAAACAGTAGGTGATAGAACAAAGACAAAAAACTTGTTAATTACAGGACTTTCTGAGCAAGATATTTTTCTTCCTTTCACAAGTTAGAAGCTATTGAATAATTCATGCCAATGTGGAAAGGCTGCCTTTTCCTTGGGTGATGTATAACGGAACAGAAGAGAGCTTGGGGTAGGTTTACCCCATCAGCCACCCCTCCTGCTTTTGAGCACCGGGTGCTGCTCTTGTGGGGCTCAGCTCCTGAGTCTGCAACGAAGCCTCCTTGCTGCTACTGCTGCCAGCCTGTTCACCCATCTGGGATTGCAGCCCGCCACTTTTCTTTCCTCCGCTTTGCTGCCAGCTGATAAAGTCTCCCTGCAGCTGCTGATTCCTGCCCGGGACCATGTGTGTGGATACTACTGGAGAGAAGCGGGCACTTGTTCCTGGCACTGATCCCAGCTGAATTTCTCCTGTTGATTTCTGGACCACAGATGCTGCTCCTGAAGAAGTATTTGCTGGCATCCCTCCCTCTACAACTACGAGCTTAGGACCAGCTTCACAGCAAGGTATCCGGACCTCTTTCACCTGGCATTTTTCCCAGCAGGAATACCTCTATTTTCTACTGGAAACTTAAAAGCTCCAGCTGGCAATAGGCGAAGGAGAGAGAAAGAGAGAAGAGAGGGAGACATTGACGTGCGTGTGTCTGTGTGTGTGTGTGTGTGTGTGTGTTGTGTTAGACGAGGAGAATTGCTCTACTCTGTCCCAGGGTTTCACTGGTGCCTGCTAAATGCAAAGAGACCTTTCCCCTGGCACCAGAGACATTTCCGAGGCAGGCACCTGTCATCTGCCACCCCCGTTCTCCTCGAGCTCCCTTTCTCCCCCTCCCCCATCCCATTCCTGTGCTTCAGTCTTTTGTGTCTGTGGCAGGGGCCTGAGGGGAAGGTCTTTGCCCTTCCGGCTGGCAAGTGTCACGATGGCCCATCCTGCCAAAAGCCAACGCTAGCTATCGAGGTGTGAAGAGTTGGCCAGAATGATCAACTCCTCCACCACGTCCACCTCCTCCACCACCGGGGGCTCGCTGTTGCTACTCTGCGAAGAAGAGGAGTCGTGGGCGGGCCGGCGCATCCCCGTGTCCCTCCTGTACTCCGGCCTGGCCATCGGAGGCACGCTGGCCAACGGCATGGTCATCTATCTCGTGTCGTCCTTCCGAAAGCTGCAGACCACCAGCAACGCCTTTATCGTGAACGGCTGTGCGGCGGACCTCAGCGTCTGCGCCCTCTGGATGCCCCAGGAGGCGGTGCTCGGGCTCCTGCCCGCCGGCTCTTCGGAGCCCCCGGGGGACTGGGACGGCGGCGGGGGCAGTTACCGTCTGCTGCGGGGCGCACTGCTGGGCCTGGGGCTCACCGTGTCCCTCCTGTCCCACTGCCTCGTGGCTCTGAACCGCTACCTGCTCATCACCCGGGCGCCTGCGACCTACCAGGCGCTGTACCAGCGGCGGCACACGGCGGGCATGCTCGGGCTGTCATGGGCGCTCGCCCTGGGCCTCGTGCTGCTGCTCCCGCCCTGGGCGCCGCGCCCGGACGCCGCGCCCCCGCGCGTCCACTACCCCGCGCTGCTGGCGGCCGCGGCGCTCCTGGCGCAGACGGCGCTGCTGCTGCACTGCTACCTGGGCATCGTGCGCCGCGTGCGCGTCAGTGTCAAGCGGGTCAGCGTCCTCAACTTCCACCTGCTGCACCAGCTGCCCGGCTGCGCGGCCGCCGCCGCCGCCTTCCCGGGCGCCCCGCACGCGCCGGGTCCCGGGGGCGCCGCACACCCGGCCCAGGCCCAGCCGCTGCCGCCCGCGCTGCATCCCCGGCGCGCACAGCGGCGTCTCAGCGGGCTCTCGGTGCTGCTGCTCTGCTGCGTCTTCCTGCTGGCCACGCAGCCGCTGGTGTGGGTCAGCGTGGTCAGCGGCTTCTCGCTGCCCGTACCCTGGGGCGTGCAGGCGGCCAGCTGGCTCCTGTGCTGCGCCCTGTCTGCCCTCAACCCGCTGCTCTACACGTGGAGGAATGAGGAGTTCCGCCGCTCCGTGCGCTCCGTCCTGCCGGGCATCGGCGACGCGGCAGCTGCAGCCGCTGCCGCCACGGCGGTGCCCGCGGTGTCCCAGGCGCAGCTGGGCACTCGCGCTGCGGGCCAGCACTGGTGACCTGACCGGGTCGTGGGAAGAGGAGATCCCTGGCTGCCCAGGATCCTCCCCTCCTTTGCTCGCCAGGTATCCCCTGCACCCAGGAAGTCAGAGGGAAGATTGAGGCTTCGAACACCTTGGGGCGCTGGACCAGAGGTCTCCTTCTCTCTGAATGACCATCCTCCTTTCCCAAGTGACTTCGCTCAGTCACCAATTTTTACCCCGTATTTATGTGCTCTAGAGAAATTCTGAAATAACAACGCCAGAGACTTCACGAACTCACAAACTGGCACTTGGGAAAGGCCAAGTGAATATATTTAAACGCCGTTTCCTTTCTGAAAAAAGAGCTTTGATAACATCACTATTCCTACTTTCATTGTCGTATATATGATGCGCCTTGAGTGTGCATGAACCAAAGGAAATTATATTTAGGAAAGAAATCTTATTTAGGGTGGAAATAATACTTAAGAAATGAATTAGAAAGTATATTTCTTGTTGATGATGCCTCTGCTAAAATTTTAGCCTTTGTGTATTTTACCTGGAAGAGTGAAACTGTAGTTATCCATACATCATAATAAGAGTGAGTTGCCTTTAAGTTCTCAAACTCTTTTATTCTTAAAGGGTTTTTATAAGGTAATTTCCATACAAGACTGATTCTAGCCAATGAGAAAAATACCCCACATCTATTTAATATTTTAAAAGCTATTTATGCTCTCAAGATTGAAAACTATATATGGAAAGCTAAAGTGTAAATACCTGTAATTTGATAATCGGTGGTCTAAGCCAGCAACTGAATTTTGCAAACAAGTAAGGGGATTGTCTACTGTAGGCAGATTTCACATTTCCATAGCATGCACACTTGTTGCTACCCTCATGTAGTAACCAGTTAATTTATTTGCCTTCTGATCATCACATCTTTGAACATTCTATATTATAATGGTTGCTAAGGAGAATAAATCTTTCAGCTTTGTCTTTAAAAGTTAAACTATCTCAATGCACATGATATCATGAAACACTAATAATACCTTGACTGCCAAGCTGAGATTAGCTTCTGTTGCATGCTCCTAGATGCTAGAACTTATTGGGCATGTGGTATACTAAAGCAATATACCCATTAGACAGGAAACACCGGACACAGAAGACATCATCTGCAATTATTTGAAAAGATATCTAGAGATACTTTTGGCGACCTAGAGTTCTTCTTATCCTGATCTGATTAATTAAAACAACAGCAACAACAACAAACCCAGGTTGGGATTTGATCTTGCTGATGGAACCACAGTCAAGATATATCTATCAGTGATGTGGTTTGGCTCTGCTGACTCCTCTGTGCTCTTTCAGGGTTTCTAAGCTGCGGGTCTGTAGAGATTTACTCTACTAACCCAAAGGCTGACCCTCTCTGGTGGTTGGAATCCACCAGTGACTCCTCATGGAGAAAGATGGGCTATCTCATCCCATGGAATTTACAGCCTCAGAAACCCAGTAGAGGGTCAGCTATGAACTGGTTCCGACACAATGGTAATGAGAAAGATCACGTTTTTATGTGGTTCATACATATCAGCAAGACAATTGACAGTAGTGTCATGTCTGTGGAAGGAGGTGTAGTAATCTCAGTTATATATAATGAACAGTTCAAACAGGAATCTGCTAAAAAAAAAGTATTGAGGTTTGGCACTTTCACCTCTATTTTCCTAAATTAATTTAGAAATATCTGAAACATAAAATTATGTGAAACCATTTCATAAAATTAAAATGGGAAAGAAACCCCTTTAAAGACTCATACATCTGTATTCTGACTGCTAACTCCTTATCTAGGGCCAAACGGCTTCAGTAATTGTCAATCAGGAATAAAACCTGCTTGCTTTGGTTGAACTCTACTTGGACAGTTCAAGCCAGGACATTAGAAACACCTGTGCAATTGGGTAATTATAGGAGTTACAGGAAATGTTGACCTGTTTGTGGAAAAACAAAACAGATTCGTTCTTCAACAGTTACAGATCTGCAGTCATTTATTAATCTTTCCACTATGTGCATGCACCATTTCTTTGTTACTAAGGCCTCATGTGCTCCCATTTACCTTGACTCTACTATGTAATTAAAGTTCCAACAACTATTCCTCTGAGTTCTTTTCTTCTGTGTCTGGTTTTCTGCAAAGATCCTTGAGAACAGTTTTACGGAAGATGTGAAATTCTGAAGCATTAAAGATAAAAGTGAATTCTTTGTGCTGGCTTTATTTAATTGAACTTTTAGCTTATAAAATTATTCCATTTTATATCATTAACTAGAATCCACGCACCAGCACTTAATTAAAAAAATGAAAAAAGTATGTAATTTTTCTTTTATAAATACATGTTTTTAAGGAAGAGGCTACAACACAGCACAGAACTGAGTCTCTCATTAGCTGATGAGGAATATTTTTATTAAAAAGAGCCTCCTTAGTGAGACTTTTACCCTTAATTCTCATGGTGAATGTTGCAAAAGATTCCTCCTATAAACGTTTACCCCACATGCAAACCTGACTTTTGGAGTGTATACTTGATATCTTACAATGTTGCTGGCTAACAATGAGAAGAACCATCTGACTCAGTGCCATTTGGAAGACTTGTTTTAAGTTCTATTTGCTGGTAATTAACTCCACAGGACTGACTCACTTTTAATTTCAAAGTGGCAATGATGTGTCTAAAATTGCTTTACTAGGGCACTAGCTGTGAGTGTTGGAGTTACTGCTTTTAAAATTGAGTTAACGGAGAGTGTATTCTTACTTAACTGAAACCACCTATTATCCACAGAGGAATGAAAAATTGTAATTGCTCTTGTCGGCTGCCCTAATTAGCTTTTTTTTTTTTTAAAAAAGGAGAAATTTGACTGCAACAATGGGTTTTAGCACAACTGTAATTATGACAATAGCACAGGATCAAGCAAGGTTTCCATCTGTTATCCGTAGGGTCACTACAAGTTGTAGCATCTCACAACAACTGTAGAGCTAATATTTAAAACTGGACATTTTGACTCCAAGTTTAGTGTTTTTCCTACTAAATGTTAAACACTCACAATTAAAAAGGTTTCCTTTTAAAAAGACATACTAAAATTTTGAGCAGATTCTACCTGCAGCCAGAATGATTGAGGTAGTCTGGGCAAGTGCAACACTGGTGACACCAATGCAGAGCTTCAGAAGCTGATCGCAGCCCAAACTGGAACCCAGCGGAACAAAATTGTCTTTAAGAAGTGGTACATTATTTTCAAGGACCATGTATGTTTGGGTGAATCTGAAATCCACGAAGGGATGAAGTTGGACCTTTATGACCAATAGGGCAGAATTTCTTCCTCTTTTACCTTCTCTTTTTCCCCACTACTACCCTCACTGGCATGGACACTTGTTTTTAAAAACATTAATAAAAACTTAGTTGCTAAAAAAAAAGAGAAATTTGTCTTAAGTTATGAGACTGTTAAGTAACATACCATTACCTCTCCTCCCCTCCTCCCCACTTATGCCAAATTCTAGGATGCTCATAAGTTATAGGCATTACTCTTAGCACTTCTGTCCTTCAAAAATGAAATATGCTCATCAGGTAAGAATCCTGTTTTGTAGAGGGCCATGTACAAGTGGCTTTTGTTTTAAGTACTACAGGGAGATTTCCAGGAGAGACAAATTTCCTTGTGTCTCAGAGTTAAGGACTTGGAATGGTCTCTACAACGCAAGTACTGTTTTTCTCAGAGGGAGCCCGTGGGTTAATGAAGTCAAGTTGAGCAGCAGAAGGAAAGGCTAGCTTTCAGCCTTCTGATAGAGAAAGCTCTCGAAAACAGTGCTCACCAATACACGTTCTGACCTGTGTTCAGTCCACCTTTGTTCTGCTGGTGGCATAGATAGTGGTCAATTTCACCGCTCTGTGTGTTAACACCCACAGTATTACTTTTGCTGGGAACTCAGTGTTGATCTAGTTCTTTAGCAGCATATAGACTCACTGACTGTGAGGTTAATCTGTGGTATGAATTTTTTTAAAATTGCTATTTTAGTGAAATTTACAAAGCAATTTGGATTATCTTCCAACAATTCATCACCTTTTGTTTTATGGTCTTTATTATAATACGCATCATGTAACCTAATTCTTCCCACTTCTTTCCTGTGACTCTCATTTTCTTTAATTTGTCCTACTCCTTCCTACCATTTGAACTTTATCCCTGGGCAAATGCTGCACTTTTGATATTATGTCATTGATTAAGCAGCAGGTGACTCCATGGGGTCACTGTTCACTTTAGAGTTACTGCTCACCTGTATATGATTCGGCTAAAAGTTGAGCAACAGGTGTGTATTTTGTTCCAAATTCGAAGGGTAACTGAGTCTGAAAGTTCCACCAGTCTCTATTGGACCAGTAAACCTGGCCTTTTTATGTTTTTGAATTTTGTTTTAAGTACTATCTCCCACTTCAGCCTGCCTCACTTCTTTATCCAGGACCTTCTGCCATGATGCCTTTAAGTGGCATGTGGTGGTAACCAGTCATTATCTTATTTTTCTGGTCTCAGGATCATGAAAGTTAAGGTTCACAAGATACATTATTAGTCTGTTGAATTAATTGGGTTTTTTTTTATGGAAAAGTAAAAGAAAAGATTCTTTCATTGTTTTACAAGCCCTCCCCCAGGTCCCCTCCACCATGTAGCCCTCGCTCTAGACTCCTGTGATGACAGAAATACCTAGTTAT